TATTAATGTATATAATAATGTTAAAAGTTTATGATCTTGTGAGACTCCAGCTGTCCAGGGCTCTTGGTTCGATACACCTATTTTAGCCTTTATGCACAACATACAATATCATTCCACTGAATGAATGAATACCCAGGAATCTTAAGGAGCAAAAACTAATAATTGCAAAGCAACACATTTTTCCCTGGAACCAAATTAGGATAGATATTTTAGATATTTGCATTGATCCTTTATTTAATGCTTAACTGCTTATACTATCATCAATGAGAGACTCACACTGATTAAAATCTGTAGCTCCCCATTCCCTCTGCTTCCAACTTTCCCTGCAAGCTTCCTCACTGACATTCTAGGGAAAGTGGCAGAGATTACAAATGGCAATTACATGATTGCAAGGCACTTGGTAACTGGTTATAAATGTATCTAGACCCGTACCAGTCGGGCTTCAGGCAGGGGTACAGCACTGAAACGGCATTGGTCGCGTTGGTGGATGATCTCTGGAGGGCGCGGGACAGGGGTTGCTCCTCTGTCCTAGTCCTATTAGACCTCTCAGCGGCTTTTGATACCATCGACCATGGTATCATGCTGCAGCGGTTGAGGGGGTTAGGAATAGGGGGCACCGTTTTGCGGTGGTTCTCCTCCTTCCTCTCCGACCGCTCACAGTTTGTGTTGGCAGGGGGACAGAGGTCGACCTCGAGGCATCTCGCATGGGGAGTGCCGCAAGGGTCGGTCCTCTCGCCTCTCCTGTTCAACATTTATGTGAAGCCGCTGGGTGAGATCATCCGTGGTTTTGGGGTGAAGTGTCATCTGTACGCTGACGATACTCAGCTGTACATCTCCACCCCAGACCACCCCAACAATGCCCTTGATGTGATGTCCCGCTGCCTGGAGGCCGTGCGGGCCTGGATGGGGAGGAACAGGCTCAGACTCAACCCCTCCAAGACCGAGTGGCTGTGGCTTCCGGCGCCCCGATATAGTCAGCAGGTGCCATCGCTGACTATTGGGGGTGAATCCTTGCCCCCCACAGAGAGGGCTCGCAATCTGGGTGTCCTCCTGGACGCACGGCTGTCTTTAGAAGAGCACATGACGGCCGTGGCCAGGGGGGCCTTTTATCAGGTTCGCCTGATTCGCCAGTTGCAGCCCTTTCTGGATCGGGACGCCTTGCGCACGGTCACTCACGCCCTTGTCACCTCCCGGTTGGACTACTGTAATGCTCTCTACATGGGGCTCCCCTTGAAGAGCACTCGGAGGCTCCAACTGGTCCAGAATGCGGCCGCGCGGGTGGTTATGGGTGCAACTCGTTGCGCCCACGTGACACCCTTCCTGCGCGAGCTGCACTGGCTCCCAGTGGTCTTCCGGGTGCGATTCAAGGTGTTGGTCACCACCTTTAAAGCACTCCATGGCATAGGACCCGGGTACCTTCGAGACCGACTTCTGCCACCAATAGCCTCCCACCGACCAGTCCGCTCCCACAGAGAGGGTCTCCTCCGGGTGCCATCAGCCGAGTTATGTCGGCTGGCGACACCCAGGGGGAGGGCCTTCTCTGTGGGAGCCCCAGCCCTGTGGAATGAACTGCCCCCCGAAATACGAAAGATTTCTGACCTCCGGGTGTTTCGCTGCGCTCTGAAGACCCTGTTGTTCCGCCAGGCAGGGCTATTAACATAACGTTTTAAATTGGGGTATTTTAAATTTCTGGGATTTTAATTGGAGCCTAACTGTTTAATGATTTTAAATTTTAAATTGTTGTCGTGTTTTTGTGTTTTTAAATAGGCTGTACACCACCCTGAGTCCTTCGGGAGAAGGGCGGTATAGAAATAAAATTATTTATTTATTTATTATTTATTTATAAATGTGAGCCAGCTGTCAGCTACGCCAAAACCCATCATATGACCAGAGTGATGGGGGATGATGTTTTACAATGGCTGCAAGTCATTTTCAAAGCTGTTGCAACTTTAAATGGTTGTAAAACAATTGATTGTATGTTGAGGATTACCTACAGTTCATTTTGAAACAAAATCTGTATGTGAATTTATTAAAAACTAATATACCAATTAAACATTTGCATGCACAGAGAGATTGGCTCAAGTATGTAAGACTATTAAATCCTCACTTTAGAATGTATCTGGAAATAAGCCTCAATCATCATAGTCAGATATACTTCCTATTAATCATCTGCCATTTTATCTTTTTATTTTGTTGCTGTTGTTGTTAGTTGTGAAGTCGTGACCCATTGCGACCACATGGACAACGTTCCTCCAGGCTTTCCTGTCCTCTACCATCCTCTGGAGTCCATTTAAGCTCACACCTACTGCTTCAGTGAATTTATCCAGCCACCTCATTCTCTGTCATCCCCTTCTTCTTTTGCCCTCAATCTTTCCCAGCATTAGGCTCTTCTCCAGTGAGTCCTTCCTTCTCATTAGGTGGCCAAAGTATCTGAGTTTCATCTTCAGGATCTGGCCTTCTAAAAGCAGTCAGGGTTGATCTCCTCTAGGACTGACTGGTTTGATCACCTTGCAGTCCAAGGAACTGGCAGGAATCTTCTCCAGCCCCATAGTTCAAAGGCCTCAATTCTTTGGCGCTCAGCCTTTCCTATGGTCCAACTTTCACAGCCATACATTGCAACTGGGAAAACCTTAGCCTTTACTATATACACTTTTGTTGGCAGGGTGATGAGACTGTTTTTTAGTAAGCTAGCTTTCCTCCCCAGGAGCAAGGGTCTTTTAATTTCTTGGCTGCAATCCCCATCTGCAGTGATTTTGGAGCCCAGAAAAATAAAATCTGTCACTACTTCCATTTCTTCCCCATCTATTTGCCAGGATATTTTTTTATACTGAACACATATTCTTAATATGAGTCAATATACAATATTGTGATCTTATTAAATCTAATAACATATACACGAAGAATGCTGTAAGTATGGAATATGACTGTACTATAAATATAATGCATCATCAAAACACTTTTTAACCTTTAGCATTCTGCCTGAACTTAGCAGTGTTTCTTCCCACTATTTTGCAAATCTTCCCCTTAATATGTAACATGGAGCAAAATATGGCAGCAATGCTTTGCTTCTCTATATTTAATATTTACCCTATACGATTAACTCTTTGAGGACATATTCTAGAGGAGAATGTAAAATATGCTTATTGATATTGATTCATTTCACAAAAGGCAATCGGCCCGCTCTTGGGATGCTTGATTTAACCCTATTATAAATAGTTCTCCCTTTGGCCTACGTTATATCAGAAAGCCAAAATTCTAAAATTAGTTCTGAAAGGAAACGTTCAAGGGACTGAAAAGAAATGGATCTACATTAACAGAAAGCCTAAAGCTCATCCAAGCAGCCTGAACCACTTGCAAGATCCTTCTTTATACCACGGAAGCAAAGCAATACAAACTTTGCATTCAGCTCCACATCCTCCCGGCTTATTTGGCACCCGCTCCTATTCCTTGCTAGTTTCTTGAATCCACCACGCCTACAGAAGCACAACCCCATCCTTGTTCCCTTCACCGGTTCACCCAGCCGAACCCCCGGTTTAACAACAAATGACCAGGACAACAATTTCCCCGGGAATAGTCAGGTGCTCACCCAAGGTTTCCGAGGTCGTATGTAGGAATTTGCAACCCATCGCCTGGGACAAGGAACCGAAGGGCGCTGGCATTAAATTCCTGCCCAGCAAGCGATTGATCGCCCCTCTGCAGCGGTGGATCAGCCACAAGGAGGCTGCCATCTTTCCCCCTTTCCCTCCCCTTCCGAAAGGCAGGCTGTCTATCGCATTGCCTGAAAAAGAGTATTCCTCCCCCACGGCAAGGTGTCTTTTCTGCCTGAATTCGCGCACGAACTCGGTAGTCGTAAACCAGCCACGCATTCGCTGAAGAGAGGGGGGGGTGGACTTCTGTGAATGAGTGATTTGTACTATTAAAGAAGCCATTCTGACTTTTGTGAAAGTGTAATTTGCACTATTAAAGCGCAATTTGCCTTAAATAGAATGCAGATTCCGATTTCTTTCACTACGTATTTTCTATTTCAAGTTTTTTTTTTTTAAAAAAAATTAATATGGGCACAACTTTACCCATTTTCTTATATGTGTGTGTACCGGTGTGTCACAGTTTACTTCCTCCCAGTATTTTTAAGAGTAAAACAGTCGGGTGTCTTTGTGAGACACAAACATCTTCCCAGCCTCATTTCTTTATTGCCACTTCACGAAGGGCATATAAATGGAATATACTATAATAGCATCTCTGTCACTTTCTATACTGCATATCAGCAGAATAGTAAACATCGAAGTAAATTATGGGAGGAAATTATTAACTGCCTGATCGGTTCGATCTAGTCAGTTGTTGCAGACTAAAACTTTCTTTAGAAGTCCATTCGGTTATCGAGCAGAACATATCGGGTAAAGGCAATCGCAATTTACATGTGTTTAACGCAGAGTTCGGCACCAGTAATCTGATGTTTAACATGCTTTGGTGGGGTTAAAAACCATTTTGAAATAAAGAAGGAAATATCATTTGATACGTTCAGGAAGAAAACACAAGCGATCCAGCCACTTGTAAAATAGACTATTAAACAATCAGGTGGCGAGGAAAGGAGGGACAAGGAGGTATTTGATGAATCTACATGTGTATATCCTACTGTCTCAATTACCTAATAAGCACGTTACCCGGTTGTAAAGGCCTCGCCCGTTTTCACACAATCTAACCAAACCGAAGCGCGACCTGGAAAAAAAAAAATAAACGAAAAGTGACATGCTAGGAATGGACGCTGGAAAAAAAAGCTATCCTTGTAGAGAAGCATTTGGAGCCATGTTTGCAATTGTGCGACTCATCTCGGGCATATACGCCCTTTTTTAAAAAAATCGGCTACGGCTCGTTTAGTAACGGTGCAACGGATCAAATTCACGGGCGCTCGACCAAGGCAACTTTATTCCCGGTCGGTGACCCAAAACTACGACCTTCCACCCACCCATTGCTCTTTGCGCCGCTACTTTTCGAGATACGCGAGGAGGCTCCTCCCCGCGGCGGAGTCGGAAGGGCTCGGGTCTTTCTCCGAAAGGAGCTCCTCCGGCCCTAAGAAGACTCTCTAGTGGCTGTAAGCGCTATGGCGGAGCCCTTTGGGGACTGCGCTTGCCCGTACAGGAACGGCTTCGAGGAAGCAAAGGTAACGGGGTGCGCTCAGCGGCACCCGCCGATTCAGTTCTCACCCAAAAGAGGTGAGGGAGAGGGAGAAGGCGCGCAGAAACCAAAGGTGGCGAGCATGTGTCAATTGCTCTCTGGCTAGCCAGGTCGAGTTTTAGAATTCGATCGCTCCCCTAACGGGAGGGTTCCTGCACCCTCTGATTAAGGTGTGGCTGGCAAACTTGATTTTTGTTTAAAGGTGTGGCTAACAAAAACCATCGCTAGGAGACGAAAATGACAACGGGTAAAAATTCGACACATCAAAGGAGCTTCCATTAATTTATAGTAGGAATAAAGGTAAAGGTTCCCCTCGTACGTATGTGCTAGTTGTTCCCTACTCTAGGGGGCGGTGCTCATCTCCGTTTCAAAGCCGAAGAGCCAGAGCTCTCCCAAGACGTCTCTGCGGTCATGTGTCCGGCATGGCTAAACGCCAAAGCCGCATGGAACGCTGTTACCTTCCCACCAAAGGTGGTCCCTATTTTTCTACTTGCATTTTTTACCTGCTTTTGAACTGCTAGGTTGGCAGAAGCTGGGACAAGTAACACGAGCTCACCCCGTTATGCAGCATTAGGGATTCGAACCGCTGAACTGCCGACCTTTAGATCGACGAGCTCAGCATCTTAGCCACTGAGCCACTGCGTCCCTTATAGTAGGAATAGCATCCGTTAGCAGCCAAAAATGCAACAGGAAAGTAGTCTTCGCTTGTGTCGACTTTCTGCCTATGACATGTTTATTTAAATTTAATGTGTCAGGAAGAATTAATGCAGACTGTTAGTAACTGTAGGCAAGGAAGATGCCAGATGGGTGCTTGGGTACAGTAATGAACTGAGAATGGACTGTGGAGTTGACCTTTCTGATGTAAACATTCGATTTTTGGATTTACTATTAGGTAAATAGTAGTAGATTAAGGGGTGCAGTGGCTCAGTGGCTAAAGATGCTGAGCTTGTCGATCTAAAGGTCGGCAGTTCAGCGGTTTGAATCCCTAATGCTGCATAACGGGGTGAGCTCCTGTTACTTGTCCCAGCTTCTGCCAACCTGCCAAGTTCGAAAGCAGGTAAAAAATGCAAGTAGAAAAATAGGGACCACCTTTGGTGGGAAAGTAACAGCGTTCTGTGCACCTTTGGCGTTTAGTCATGCCGGGCACATGACCAGGGAGACATATTCGGACAGCACTGGCTGTTCGGCTTTGAAATGGAGATGAGCACCACCCCCTAGAGTCTGGACGACTAGCACATATGTGCGAGGGGAACCTTTACCTTATTAGGTAAGATTAATGCAGCAGATATAGTAGAGTCATAGGGACTCTAATGTTAATTGTGAGCCCGGTAGTATTCCACCAAGTGCAAAGATTGATCTCGTCATACTGTTTTCCTTTAAAAAAAAATTAAATGTTTTACAAAGCACATTAAAAAATAACACAAACTAATGAAGAGTAAAGGGAGAAAAAAGAAAGAAAAAAGTGCAAAAGGAGAGAACAGAAAAAGGGGAAGCTTCTAATTTTATATGTCCCAAAATTAAGTATGTTGACAAAATTAACTCTTTATGATTACAAAGGAAAAAAGCACACTTTTTTTATTATCCAGTTTTTCTACTTATCAATCCAGAAATCATAGGTGCAGTTTTCTTCTAAACTTGAAAAAAATCTATAGGCAGCTTCCAATCAGCCATAAATATAAATATTATTTTTTTCTCCGAAGAAGTCAATTTAGCCAAATTCCATCATTTCCATCAAGTTCCATCATTTTCATCAGCCATTACTCCATATATACTCCATATATAGATATAACAAAGCAAGCATGGACAACTCGTTTGACCAAAAACTAGCATGTAGTTGACATTATGTATAAGGTTATTTTCCTATAATCAATCAATAAAAAATAAAATAAAATGATGACCTCAGACTCAACCTCTAATCATTTCAAAGAACCAAACGTAGGTTTTTTTGGTAGCCAGTTCCTTCAGGATATTTTTTGAGTTTACAGTTTAACTTGCAGCTTAGATAAACCTTGTGGTCTCCTATTAAGGTACTAATCATGTCTAACTCTGTTTAGTTTCCAAGCCAGATAAGATTGGTCAGATGATGCCACATGTTAAGATGGAAAGTGCAGCAAACTGCAGTATAAGTTCTAAAATGAATTTAACACAGGTTTTTTTTTCTGTTTGTTTTTTTGTTTTTTAAAGAAAAGGACCTACGGGAAGAGGTTGACAACAGAAAATCCCAAGTTAGCCTACATCAATTTCACATCTTCACTATGACCCACTGCATGTCCATGCCAAATTTGATAATTGTTTAGGTTCCTACATGATGGCCACTCAATCTTTTCCAGTTTTCACCCTTTTTATATGTGACACCTACTCTTATATTTCACCTCTATGCTTGTTGGGAAGTTGGGGAGTTCTGTAACATGGATGTCAACAATCCTTATAGTGCCTAGGTTTGGCTGGTATATGTGTATCATACTGCACCGATCCATGCTTCTCTTGTTTCATTTGTATGAAACCAGTCAATGTTGCTCTATTCAACAAACACTGGTTTATAAAATAATGGCAGGAATACCTGTAAACATAGCCATTTTGTTTTAAAGCTTCTGGTTTGAAGTTTATTCAATAAAACCAAGAAACCAAAACAAATGGCAACTTTGTGGCATTATAAACTAAGCATGTCTGGTTTTTAACAGGCCAGAGAAGGAAAACTTGTTTTATTCCTGATTTTCAAGTCTATAAATTACTCCAGTGGAGAGTCCTTGGTCTGCCCTTTGCACTAAACATAGAAAAACCTTTCCCAATTTGATTGTTCTTGTTTACAAGACTTGCTTAGCAGGAATTATCAATTTGTAAAGAAGAATTCGTCACAATCCTCATATATAGAGTCGCTTTGCAGATTGAGATGGGCGGCATATAAATTTAATTAAAATTGTGTGACATGGAAATCACGGAAATATAACCATCAGTTCCATCCTTTTTGTGCCAAAACGTAGTTTGCCATTGGGTCTGAGCTATAATTTGTCAATTTATATCAGAAATAGAATTGCAAGCCTTGATCAGATTGACCTGATTGGGACTTTTCTATAATTTGCTGTACAATGAGAAAACTGTTGAAGAAAGTCAGTCCAACTATGTTAGCAAATTATTAGTTTCCCATTAATGAGAAAGTAATAGCCAGTGTAGAGGAAAAATGAGAACAATGAGAACACATGCTCAATATTCATAGAACACTAAATTAAAGATGGCCAATTTTAGAGACTGTCAGCTGCGCTTAACATTTTTGGGAAGATTTTTGTATCAACTCACTATAACACAAGTGCAGCTTGAACGATAAGAAAACATCTAGTATGGATTTTAAAAGTAGAATAAGTATTGGCTACTTGCTGTTTGGGATAACATTTGCTTGGTACTGCCAGAAGAGTAGTTCCACTTGTACAGTTTAATTTTTGTGAGTTAGTTATTAAAAATCTCCAAGAAAAAAAACCATTTATAACAAGCCAGTGAAAAGAAAAGAATTCTGGGAAAAAAGAAATTAATAAACAATTTAATAGAAAACATCTCGCATACCTTACTCTTAATTTTAAATCTGGCAATTTTGGTGGCACTATGTCAGAGAAACTTACACATAGGAATGACCATAAAATATGTCAGAGCCATAAATTGTTTGAATATTAGCCAGACTATGGAAAGCAACAGAATTAAAAAAAAAAAGGTACTGCACAAATATTCCTGAAAGTATTGTTTTACTTAACATAAATCTAACTTGGGGAATTATATATTGATAACATGTTTGATCCAAGATTCTTTTACAATTTAGGAGAAAATTCAGGTTTATCTAAAGGTAGCTGTCTTTCATACACAAGACAGCCTTGATTTAGTGTGAGATTAGAAAGAATGTGTGAGCCAATTTGGTGTAGTGATTAAGGTATCAGGCTAGAAACTGGAAGAAGTGAGTTCTAGTTCTGCACAAATCACAAAACCAGCGGAGTGATCTTGGACCAGTCACTTTCTTTCAGCCTAAGAAAGTGGCAATGGCAACCTTCTTTTGAAAAATGATGCCAAGAAAAGTACAGACATTCCAGACATTTTCCAATAATTGATCAGAATTGAATGAAAAAAGTCTACAAGAGATGAACTGCAACTCCGATGTATCTGCATTTAACAAATAAAATAAAACGTAGTTCGTAGCCCTTGTACAATTTAATAGGAAACACAATAAATATCTAACCTTTCTTAGAAATGCAGTTAAAGAAAGTTGGGAATGTTTTTTCTCAAATGTATTTCAGCCCTATGGCTTAACAGTAATTTTATAAATCCTTGGTGAATCCTTTCACAAATGTCTGCCATTACTTCCATATGTAACATAAGCTGCAGCTTATCTTAAAAAATACTGAATGAGAAAAACCTTTCAGCTTATGGAAGTATGTCTCATATTTTGCAAGGGTACATGTATAAAGGCTAGATTATATATAGTAATATGAACAATTACAAAGGACGTTTTGTTACTATAACCAAATCCATATTAGTGGTGAAGAGTTTGTACAAAGCTGCATTCTGTCAACGTCCTTTTGCATTAATTGTTCTGGGTTGTTATTTTGCATCTGTTGAAATGTGGTAAGTGAAGGATGTCAAACAGCAGATGTTAGTGGTAATTTCAGGGAAAACTCCATTAAAAAGCCATTTTTAAAGTTGATTATGCTGACAGCTTTACTCAAACAAATGGAATGAGTTTGAGAAACTTAAATTGTCCTTTTTATCTGAAAAAGGAAGTGGTTCTTTTCTAAGAAAACGTATGGCTATCCAATCATAATGAGAGATTTAAATTGAAACATCTGTTACACATCTTAAGAAGGTATATTCAAAACCTCTCCTAAATAACTTGTCAAGACCTGAAGGACATAGTGCACCTTGGTCTAATTGGACCTCTCAGTGGCTTTTAATGCCATTAGCATCTGTATGAAGCTGCTGGGAGAGATCATCCCACAGTTTCGGTTGTCATATTACCAATATGTGGATAATACCCAATTGTAAATTGCTACTGTGAGTTCTGAGGGAAATACTGTCAATGTCTTTTCCTGATGCCTTAGATGCTATCAGGGTTTGGATAAGAGAATAGTCTGAAATTGAATCCTAATAAAATGAGCTTTTGTAGATTCATTAAAGTTCTCAGTCGCCAGTAGAGTTGTTCCTTGAGGGGTAAGCATTAGCCATCAGAGAGCAGGCTCAAAACTTCGATTCATGGCTTTGGCTGGAATAGCAGGTAGAAACCAAGCCAGAGAGATCTATAACTAGCTGTAGTTAGTGCATTGTTGCAAACCTATGGGGTAAGAGGACCTAGCTAGAATAATTCATGCCATTATCACCATCTGTAGAAGGAAAAAGAAATGCTATTGAAGGATAACAGAAAGAGCTACAGGAATGTAATTTGAGTAAATGTCCTGGATAAGATTATCCCTAGTTCTCCCAAAGATGAAGGGAGGAGGGGAGAGGCGCATTCAAATTTGCAAGATTCTATTATTATAGATTTATAATAAAACTAGTAGTTGATCTATATGGCATTGGATTCTTAATATGATTTACCTTACAGGGCAGATACCACCCTGTTGTAGAGTCAATGTTGACTCTACAATGTTGACTCTCAATAATCATTTATTGATTTATATAGCGGCTCATCTCAATATGTGATTTGGGGGGGCAGAGATTTTCTACAGGATATATAAATACTGTAATGCATATTTTTAGCCCAAATAATAAACTAACCACTACAGATGTGTTTAAAAAATATATTAAATGATCAGATATTTTATGTTTCTCCTATAGGAAAATGTACACCCAAGGAATTTGATTCCAGAACTTTGTCGGCAGTTTTATCATTTAGGATGGGTTACAGGAACTGGTGGTGGAATCAGCATGAAACATGGGTAAATAATATGAGAAGTTTTAAAATTGTTTTAACTCATGCCAGTTTTTGAAAAATAACTGTGAAAAATAAAACACAACATGTATTGAGGTGCATGACATTCTTCAGGCAACTCAAAACTAATTAGATATTATTTATCTCCTGATGTAGGAGAAAACTACATACAGTTTAATAACTCAAAAATGTTGTGGAATATGATAAAGATTTTGATGCTTAAATAATTCAAATGGTTTTAGCATAATTCACAAATCTATTGATTGAATGTAGAACACAAAACAGACAATTCTGAGTAGGGACATCTCTTTAGTATTTCTAAAAAATGTACACATGAATTGTTTGCAATGACAACACACATTATTGGTACAAAATCATGAAAGAAATAAAATTCTGCATGAACTGAAATATTTACTAGATCACAAATAAGTCTGTCTATATACCATGTTTCCCTGAAAATAAGATCCTGTCTTATATTTTTTTGAACCCTGAAATAAGCGCTTGGCCTTATTTTCAAGGAGGTCTTATTATTTTGGGAGGCGTGGAGCAAGACGGGGCTCCTCTTGCCATCTTACCTGATTTCTAGTTCTGTCTCCCTAATCCTAACCAGAGGAAATGGCGGGGACTGGCTGCACATGCGTTTAAATATTTTCGGGGAGGACTTACTTTTGGGGAAAGGTCTTATTTTAGCGCATCGCTCAAAAGCCCGATTGGGCTTATTATCTGGGGAGGTCTTATTTTTGGGAAAACAGGGTATTACAAAAACTTCATGATCTTTAACTGGGCAAAACAGTGCATCATAGAGCAATAATTTTGAATCAAGTTTCCTCAAATGGGCTGATTTACAGAAAGTTTCCAAATTCCAGGACTCATGACTCCTGAGGGAATGAAATGTGGGAAGGTTGTGACTGCTTTAGAGCTCCAGGGTTGATATAGCAATCACATGATCATTTTCAATGTTCTGTTATAGTTTCCCAGCCATTCTCACAATCCTTTAGTTCTGGAGTCCCCAATCCTGAGCCACCGACCAGTACCAGTCTGTTAGGAACCAGGCTGCACAGTGATGATCAAGCGAAACTGAAAGCATCCCCCCCCCCCCCCCGGTCCATGGAAAAATTGTCTCCTACAAAACAGGTCCCTGGTGCCAAAATGGTTCGGGGCTGCTGCTTTAGTCACTTCTACATCCTACAGCAGCCATACTTATCTTCCAACTGGAAAGGGAAGGGGAGGAGTGGAAGGAATTGGGAGGAACAGGCAAGCTCCCCATTTGCCCCTCAATCCACCCCACCCCAATTGTCATCTCCAACATGCACAGCTTCTTTTACGCACCCTCCCTGACCCATGACACACACATTCCCGTACCTTCCCTGACCCACACAGCACCTCTTACGCATCCCGATGCACCCTTTATGATCCACCACCACTACACCTTTCCTGACCAGCAAGGTACCTGTTGTGCACCCTCACATACCTTTCCTGACCAATATCTCCACGCACCTCCTTGCTCCATTCAACAGCCATTCAACAGCAGTTACTTATCTGCCTGTTGGCCTTGGACTTGCAACTGATTATTGTCTTCTCACATGGAAAAGTCAGCAGGAATTCTAGAGAAGAAAGAAGGAAGGAAGTTTAGGAGAAAGAAGGGAATGAAGAGTAAAGGGGGGAGGGAAGAAAGGTGGAAGAAAGAGGAAGGGAGGAAAGAAAGAAGGAAACTCTAGGAAGGAGTTACCCAGTGGTAAGATGGGTGCCCAGTAAATTTTATAAATAAGTGAACACAATAGGCAAGCTGGCAGGAAGTTGGAAATTGCTCCCACTCCCACTGCTTTTTTGCTCATCCTTGGTCATTCTGTTTCTCTATTTAGGTAAGATTTCTCATATTTCTGCAATGATGATCCAACAGGGCATGGATTGTCTAGTTAGATAAGAACAGTCATTCAACCTGATAAAATAGGAGATTTCCTTTGTTCCTAACATGTGGAAGTTTGGAAATCTCCCTCAAAATGGGGAAAAAATCTCAGCAATAATACCACAATGCCTTTTAAAAATTCAAATTCCGTTCTTGCTGAATAAACTTTACGATTGCATACACATTTTGTTTAATCTGTATACATGTATACAAATGTTATCAACCTGAAACTGCTTTATTGGTGTCTTGGAAACTTCTGGAAAATCATTTCTACTTGAAAGAAATCATGTCAGTACTTTACTTTGCAGGTTGTTAGCTCCACATAGTGGTAATAAAAGGAAAATCATGTAATCTGTCTACATAAAATAACTTCCTAATGTAAGTTCTGCTTCTTCAAATGAAGTTGTTCTAATGTTTTTATCTCAAGGTTTTTTCAATCTCAATCTTAGGAACAAGAAAAATTTATTGGTTCATGATAAAGGAAATGTTTATTCACATACCGAAAGAGAATCCTTAGGTAAAAACACAGGACCCTGTCATACTTCTTTTTATCCAAAATCTTTGATTCATGTACTCTAAACTAACCTCATTGTGGGATTTTTTAAAATAGAAAAGTCATAGAAAAACAATGTTTGTTAAGTAAGTACTAAACTCTGCTTCAAATGATAGTAAAATCCTCTGTCCCTTTGATCCCCTCTGAGTAATGGCCTTTCTGACTATTGAGAGTTAAGAGCTAGAATTTATCAGAAAAAGCAGGGAAGAGTTTTCTGCTACTGATGTTCCTGTATTCCCAGATTCCAATCAGGATTCCATCAAGCACTCTTGGAATCCAAAGAGTTATGGCAATAGTTGGATCCAGAGCACCAGGGTTGAAAATGTAGAAGCACAACACTTAGGGAAGACCTTACTGGGAATAATGATGAATTTTGTATAAAGAAACTTTTAGGACAGCTTAATTGTTAGATTTTTGGGTATTGGCAATAGCAATGGCACTTAGACATATCCTCCTTCCCAGTGCTTTACAGCCCTCTCTAAGCGGTTTCAGCAAATTGCCCCCAACAATCTGGGTCCTCATTTTACCGACCTCAGAAGGATGGAAGGGTAAGTCAACCTTGAACTGGTGAGAATCAAACTGCTGGCATTTGGCAGAATTAGCCTGCAATACTACATTCTAACCACAGCATCACCACGACTCTTCAAAGTATTCCTAATAGAAATATTTTTAATTTTGTTTAAGATGTTTTCTGATGAGCAAATGTAGCTATTTACATGTTTCACTTCAGAGTTAAAAAAAATTTAGTCACATAATAAATTCATGGGTTTATATTTCTCAATAATTTCAAATAGTAGATTGAAAGTAATAGTTTTGTGCATAAGCAGCTTTACATCTCAGAATACAATATATTGTCCTTCCTAGTTATAAGGGGTTTTAAAAGGTGTCCAGTATTATTACAGCTCTGTTTGTGTCAGTTGCTCATATATATCTGCTGAAACTGTTTTTATAATGATCTGTCTTAAGGGAGGCAGGAAAATTACAAAATCACTTTTTTCTCAGGGAACAAAAATACTTTTTCATTTTTCCATCATCAGTTATCTGCCATCACAGCCAAAAGTTATACATACTAAAGCCAAAAAAAATGCAATGGGTTAGTTAGAGCAAGCATATTGCCATAAGTGACTTGGAGAATAGCATTAGCATTAACAAACAGATTACAAATGGTTAAATTCATAACGTTGCCAATAACTGTGCTGTAGGCTTTTTGCTGTTTGCGAATACTTGACAAATTAGGGATCCAATGAGATCTGACTCATGAAGATAGAATCTCTGCCGCTTCTTTCTGATGTAAAAATAATGCTAACTTTGCCTTCAACAGTAGTAAATCTGGTTTTACCTGACTAATTAACCACTAGATGTCCCTGTTCTTCATGCTTCTAAAAGTAAGGATGATTAAAATAGTAGTTCTTAAAGGAGGGTATTTTATCCTGTCCCACAGATTTTATATAGAGATGTGTGAAATATTTTTCCCAGGGTTGAAATGCTCCCAGATCGGACCGGAAACCCCGATCTGGTAGCGATTTTTCCCTGTGGTTCGGCGATCCAGTAGTGATCGCCGCCCAGATGTCATTACTTCCTGGTTTTAACCAGGAAATAATGTTTTTTTTTACCTTCTGCGCATGCACAGAAGGTGTGCGTACATGCAGAAGGTATGTGCGCACGCGGCACGTGCACTTCTGAACCAGTAAGAAAGGTAAGTAGATTTCACCCCTGATTTTTCCCTTTTAACAGTCATTAGCCATAAAGCTTTTTGTTTCCATTTTGCCTTCCTTCCTGTAGCTTTTAATTAAGTTGATTGTGTCTATGCAATAACTGCATATATTTTTCACTGGTACAATTTACAGTGACCATATTTGAAGCTTGTTCTATATAATCACATTGATTGTACTGGTGAGATAAAATGTCAGGGACTATAAATGAAACTCCATTGCATTAATTTCATTTCATTTTCATTTATTTGAATTTCTATACCGCCCTTCTCCTTTCGGACTCAGGGCGGTGAACAGCCAGATAAAAAACATCTATACAAACATCACAGTTAAAAATAAAGTTAAAGTAATTTATAAATTTGGCCCATAATTTAAAACTTGTCAATTAAAATAAATATTAAAATTTTAAAACTAACCCTAAAATCAGGACAGACCGGCTAGCTGAAAAAAATGAGTTTTTAGGGCCCGACGAAAAAATGCTGATTGTTCTCGAGCTAGCCAAACCTATGGCAATTTGTTAAGCACAGTTGCCAAAATGTAATAGCGGAAGCAAGTATTGTATATCCCCTTATGTCTGTAAATGAAGCTTAGTTTTTCCTGTTGTCTTCTGTCTGCAATTACAAGTCTGATTTCTCCGTCCCTCTCAGCAGTGAAATATATATTGCTCCGTCTGGTGTCCAAAAAGAAAGAATACAGGTAAGTAAATATGAGTAGTATTTCTATCTGGATTGTAGCCTTGAAAATAAATCCACAGCCTATCCATACTTATACATGAGAAAGTCTTCCGGAATTCTTTCTAGATGAACACATGTAGAATTGTTACCGCATGTATTTTTAAAAAGAATTTTCATTTTTCTTATTTGCTTCCTCTGGACTATATGAGATTTTAAAGTTGAACTCTAGGAGGCAGTATGAATGAGTGGAGCAGCAAAAGTGAAGTATACTATAGGGATCTTTTCTTTTGCATACTATCTAATTAGGACATTTTATTAATATGTAGAAGGACAGTCCCTTCCTGTAAGATGGTCAAAAGGCAATCACTTTGTCAGGCCATGGTAGGAAGCTTGTTAGAAATCATAAAAGAAATGTAACCCTCTTACATCTCTACTGTTTTATATTCCTATATGAAAAACCAGAGACTAGCCAAGTTTGCTTTTATAACTATTTGGCAATTACCAGTGAAGAAATATATGGATCACCTGAGATGATGTCATCCCTTCAAGGTAGACCAGACTAGGAAACCAATGCCAAAGAGGTCACTTCTATTTTTATTGTAAAGCTATAGTAACATAATCTTGCAAGTCTGAATATGCTTCCTTCTCCTTCCCTTTATCTTCCAGTAAACTAAGGAGGGGTTCATCTATTTATTTAGCTTCCTTTCTTGACCTGGGCTCAGGCCCCATTTATCTGACAGTTGCCTTGATAATAGTTCTTCCTCTTGTTCTTCAAGAGATTCCCTTGGCTCTCTACAGATGGCCTGTTCTCTTGTTATTGAGGACATGTCCTCACACAGGAGCCTCCATCTCTGTATGAGCCTGCTGGTAGGACATATTGAAGATGAATCAAAAGTATCTAGTAAGAAAGGAATGTTTTCCAGTAGAAAATGCCCAGTTCCTCTGGGTAAACATTTGCATGGGGAGAAACTTAAGGCAGGTTGGGTATCTGGAGAACTCCATTTGGCCCATTCTCATACTATCCTGCTCCATTCAGCCATGGGGCTATATGTCTACTTTCTTCCCTGCCTATCCACTCCAAGTAGAAATCCCTGGCTTCTTCTCTCCATGACCTCTACCATGACCTCTGGGCTTGCTGGAGGGGACCCTTGCCAGCCCTGATTGAGGCAGCAAGTCAGCTAGTCAATAGGATTAAAGAACATCATTCCTCTCCTGCTTCCCTCTCTTTCCTCCAAGCGGAATCTGGTTGAGGGAGAGTGACAGGCAACAAAAAAGGGAAAGCGTTTTCTGTCCTACTTCTTGTTCCTCCACTAAAGTGACTTTTACATAGGGAATTTATTTTCAAGGTATGACAAAAGAACCATATTCAGGGTAGCAGTTTCCAACTATCTTGAGTCTTACTGGGCAAGAGCAAATACAAATTATCTATTTTACTTTTTGGCTTTAGGGTGTTCTATCTATTATCTAACTATCAGTGAATACTTCCTCTCAGTTTGGAAGCTAGGTGGGAAGAGGTTCCCCTTTTATAATTCTAGAATGTTGTCAACATTTTTCAAACAATGAAAAATACCAGTCCTGTATGAGAAACATTATAGTGTAATGAATCCCTGGATTTTAAATTAGATGTCTTGCAAATATGAAAAGTTATAATTCACAGATTTTATGATACTATTATAAAAAGCAGTATTATTAGTTAGAACTAATTTATGGCCTCTAAGATTGTATTAATCTTCGTTGCTATTAATGCATATTTTCTGATTTAAGACTGGAACCTTATCCCAATTTATTTGGATGTACGTTCCACTGAATTAAATGGGTTTGATTACATTGTGCATAATTAAATAGAGCTGTGTTTACTTATTCATTTGAATGTGCCAGATTTAGAAGATGGATTGTGGGTAATTGCAGTCTCAGTTTTCATTTGTTTGTTTAATCTTTTCAAGGAGAAGTATTGAAAACTGATCACCAAGGCTGTGATGATTGCAAATACTAGTGCTTAATAATTTCAGTCCATTAAAATCAAGCAAGTGCATTGGGTATAAATATTGGGAATAATTAAATTGACAGTCATACTGTCTTACTTACATGGAATCTTAGTGAAGTCAGTGCCCCTTCCCATTGTACTGTGATATATAAATTCAGCAGGTTGTATGCGTATCAGTGTTACATCTGTATTGTATTGAAGTGGGGACAAAACGTTATACTATGTGCAAAAATAGTTCTAAAACCATAGAAGTTATATTATATACAAAACTAACATGATTAGATGTATTGCTAGGCTCTCTGTTCAGAAGATTTTCACTTCATTTTACCTTTGAATGGAAGATACATTTTAAAGACGTGTAAAATGCTGCAGATATAGGGTGAGCTGAGATTCCAACGGCACAAGCATTATAGCCAGTCAATGCTGCTTTTAGCCAGCTTCTCCTGCACAGTCGAAAAACCAGTTTCTATTGAGCTTGAACTGCAAAGGATATTTTTGGACTGTCTGTAATGTAGTGTGTACTTGCATAGGTGCTTGGCTGCCTCATAAAATAAATTTTCTCAAAACTCCAATCAATTGTATCAATATTTTTATTTATTTATTTATTTTATTTTTGAATTTGTATACCGCCCTTCTCCCTGAGGACTCAGGGCGGTGAACAGCCAAATAAAAACATCAAATACAAATATTAAAATACAGTTAAAATATATATATATATAAATTTGGCCCCATTAATTAAAACAATAAACAAAACAATTAAAAACACTTAAAAAGAATTAGGCCAGCCCGGCTTGTTGGAAAAGGAAGGTTTTAAGGGCACGGCGGAAGGCACTGAGGTCATGGATTCTCCTTATCTCAGGGGGCAACTGATTCCAGAGGGTGGGAGCCCCCACAGAGAAGGCCCTCCCCCTGGGGGTCACCAGCCTGCATTGTTTGGCTGATGGCACCCCGAGGAGGCCCTCTCTGTGGGAGCGCACGGGTCGATGGGAGGTCGTCGATGGCAGCAGGCGGTCTCGGAGATAGCTAGGCCCTATGCCATGGAGCGCTTTAAAGGTGATAACCAACACCTTGAAGCGCACCCGGAAGACCACTGGTAGCCAGTGCAGCTCGCGCAGGAGCGGTGTTACATGGGAGCGCCATGCTGCTCCCGTCACTACCCGCGCTGCTGCGTTCTGGACCAGTTGGAGCCTCCGGGTGCTCTTCAAGGGGAGCCCCATGTAGAGAGCGTTACAGTAATCAAGGCGAGAGGTCACGAGGGCATGAGTGACTGTGCACAGGGAATCCCGATCAAGAAAGGGCCGCAACTGGCGGATCAGGCGAACCTGATAAAAGGTCCCCCTGGTTACAGCCGTCAGATGTTCCTCCAAGGACAGCTGCGTATCCAGGAGGACTCCCAGATTGCGAGCCCTCTCTGTGGGGGCCAAAGACTCGCCCCCAATAGTCAGTGATGGAGTCAACTGACTATATCGGGATGCCGGGAACCACAGCCACTCAGTCTTGGAAGGGTTGAGCTTGAGCCTGTTCCTCCCCATCCAGATCCGTACAGCCTCCAGGCACTGGGACAAGGGCATCATTGGGGTGGCCTGGGGTGGAGATGTACAGCTGAGTATCATCAGCGTACTGGTGGTATCTCACCCCAAAGCCACGGATGATCTCGCCCAGCGGCTTCCATAAATGTTGAACAGGAGGGGCGAGAGGACCGACCCCTGAGGCACTCCACATATAAGAGGCCTTGAGGTCGACCTCTGCCCCCAATATGCTTTTGTTCTAGTAGTTTCTCAATTTGAAATACCCTTGTCAAAAATAAGATTTCCATGGTTTGTCAAACTTTTCTAAAGCATTTTTGTTGTTGTTGTTGAAAAGTGTTGTTGAAAAGTGATGGTTATCCCAGCTGGCTGTTCTTTCATTATAGCCTGAAGACATGTTTGTGTGTGATATCAAAGAAAAAGACATCAGTGGCCCTCCATCTTACAAGAAACTCAGGAAGAGTCAATGCACACCTCTGTTCATGAATGCTTACATCATAAGAGGTATGGCCTAAATATTCTTGGTGGTAGATGCCGTTGATAATAGAGTGATTTTTTCCTGTAACATGACTGAAAGGCAAATGATGAATATGATTTAGAGGCCACCAGACTCCCAGCAATTCTGGATGATTTACAAATGATTTCAAACATGAAAAACAAGACAATAAAAACGAGAAACAAAAGAAGGATAGCAATGACATGGATAACGAACTGGGTATAAACAAAACAACCTAAGTTAAAAGGACGCCTTGTTCATCTTCAACCAAGGCCTGGGTGAAGATATATTACAGTACAGTCCTTTTTTCCCCCCAAAAAAAGAAAACGTAGGAAAGGGCATTAACTGTGGCTTCTGGAATTATTTCCAATCCCTTAATAATAGGCTGGATGTAGAAAACATGGCCAAGGGAGGGAACCCCAGAAACTGGCAATATTCTGAGTCATTGGCCTCTCCCACAGCAGACATTTTTTTCTGGATTTTTGTTTTGCTCCACAACCTCCAGCTTAATTCAGCCCACTTTTAAACTCTATTTTCTTTTACCAATTTCTTACCCCATACCAAATTTGGTCTCCTTCTATTCATTTTTGAGAATTATCAAGCCTTAAAAGAGCCTTAAACCAATTTATGGAATTAAAGGATGTAGTTAGTTCCTGAGGGTTTTTTTTTAAACCTCCCAATCTAGCCTGTAGCCCTGAGCATCCTAGAAAGATCCCAGTAATGTCTTATTGGAATATTACAAAACTACAGCAAATTCATTGACAACAGCCCTTATTTTATAAATAGGATGTTTACAGTTACAATGGAATTCTTACCGTAGCAGTTACTTTTTTTAAAAAAACCTAATTAATGTGTATGCTTCCCATGTTACTAGCTGGTCTGAGTCCTGTTAGTTGTAGTAAAAAGAAAAAGAAGGAAAATGAAAGCTGGAAGGAGTGCAAAGAAAGCTCTTCCTCTGCTTCTTGTAATTCATACCTTATATTAAGAATATGTAGATTTTAAATGTATATCCTGAAATAGAGGATGACGCTGATTAAAAAATCGAAATAGAGGGAGTTTTTGATTTAGAAGAACTCCAGTCGAAGTCAGTGTATCTTCTTGTCTTCCCACATCGAGAATTATAACAACAGAAGATTACATCCATCCTTTTTATTCTCAGACTTTCAAGTTTTAAAGACAGGAAATTATGAATATTGAAACAATTCTACTTCTAATCTGTTGGTGGCAGCATCCCAGTGTTAAAAAGTGATTTGGAAGAAACTAGTTTAAGACTATTATAATAGGCAATAGTGATGCAGACATAATTTCCTTGCATAGTCATAATTCTAATAGATCTGACAATAAGCACTATCTTGCATCTTTTCCTAAACCTACTGTAAAGATGTATTGAGACCAGTAACTTCCATAATGTGCTGTCCATGTTACACTCCTTACTGCAGGGGTGTCAAACTCATGTCGTCACAGCGGTGTCATGTGATGTATCGGGACTTTTTCCCCCCTTCGCTAAACCCGAGCTTGGGCGTAGCCACCACATGATGCATCTGGCCCCCGGGCCGGGAGTTTGACAGCCCTGCCTTACTGTATGGCAGACATTTTGGTAGGTACCAAATTGAGGAGGGCTGTCTTGCAATATGTACTGCTGAATGCATACATAATTGTTCTCAGGTAACTTACAAAGGTGAGGACATAATGACAGATGCACGGTAAGACTTAAGCTATGAGATTTGCATTGTGACATTATGACATATATTTTGTCCTTTCCCCTCCCCCTCCCCCACTTCACATACACATATTTAAACATCAATCAATTACATGGAACAATTTATTAAGGCACAAAAGAATTAGGACTTATCTATATAGATATCTATCCTCAATAGATAACCATTCATTTAGTGACCATTCGAAGTTACAACAGCAGTGAAAAGTGACATACTGCCATTTTTCACACTTACAACGGTTGCAGCATCCCTATGGTCATGTCATCAAAGTTCAGATGCTGTTATGACAGTTGTAATGCTCCAATTCGTGTGATCCCTTTTTGCGACCTTCTGACAAGCAAAGTTAGCGGGGGAAGCCAGGTTTGTTTAATAAACGTGTTACCAACTTAGCAGTGATTCACTTAACAACTGTGACAAGAAAGGTTGTAAAATGGGCAAAACTCACTTAACAACTGTCTTCCTTAGCAATGGAAATTTTGAGCTCAATTGTGATTGTAAATCAAGGATTACTCATACACTACAAACTCTTGTGTCTGTAACCTTTAACTGGGCAAAATAGTGAAACATAGGGAAACAATCTTTGAACCAAGGTACCTAAAACCAAGGGCCAATTTAGAGAACAAATACTGAATTTTTGAATTTATATCTTCTTTAAAAATATTGTTTTAGGAGCAGGAGCAGTGATTCATACTCATTCCAAAGCTGCTGTGATGGCCACACTTTTGTATCCAGGAAAAGAGTTTAAAATCACTCATCAGGAGATGATAAAAGGAATCAAGAAATGTACTACAGGGGGATATTTCAGGTAATTTACAATAATAAATAACATTGGAGTAATATGGAGTACTCCTTCATACATGCTGTTTTTGACAGTCAGTTTTTGTCTTTTGTAGCAAAACAATATAGGTAGTCTTCGACTTACAACAGTTCATTTAGTGACCGTTCGAACTTACAACGGCACTGAAAAAAAGTGACTTATGACCATTTTTCACACTTATGATTGACACAGCATCCCCTTGGTCACATGATCAAAATTCTGACTCTTGACAACTGACTCATATTTATGATGGTCGCAGTATCCCGGGGTCATGCCCTTTTGCAACTTTCTGACAGTGTGGAAGCCAGATTCACTTAACAATCGTGTTTACTAATTTAACAACTGCAATGATTCACTTAACTCTAGCAAGAAAGGTCTTAAAATGGGGCAAAACTCACTTAACAAATTTAGTTAATTTATGTTTAGCAACATAAATTTTGGGCTCAATTGTCGTAAATCGAGGACTACCCGTAGAATCCTTAAATTATCACATTATGCATTGGATGAAAGGGTCTATGACCCACAAAAGCATCTGTGATAATTGCTAGTCTTTGATGTGCTAGAAAAACTTTTATAGTTTTTGTATTCAACTTTTATCCCAAACTCCCAGAATCTAAAATGAATCCATCCCAAACACATGCTCCCAATTATGTGAATACCCAGAAACCTTTTCCAGAAAGGTAAAGACAAGCTTTTTATCCTGTTCTTCATAAATTTATCTTGATACAATCAAGAATTGTTTATATTTATAGTTCCATGGGCTCAAACTCCCACCCCCCTCTATTGGAGTAGCTATTCAAGAAAAGAAATAACTTTTAAGATCACAACAAATTTCTTTTATTCTGTGTATCATAAAAAATTGGTTAATCACTTAGTACTTTGGAAATTTGGAGAACGTATGAGGGATAAAATGAGAAGGGCAAAATATTTTATCAGCAGGAAGGTTAAACTACCTAGCACTTTCACCCATTATAAAATATTATTTAGTCTAGCAGTCACTGTTATGCTTTAACTATTCATTAAAAAGCAAGTTTTAATTTTGTGAAGATTATGCCACCTAACAATTCCAGGAATGAACCTGTGTTTTTCAATTATGAGTTTGAGAGAGAAAACAAGTAAAACGTATCTCAAATCCCTAAGTAAAATGACTTGGACATTTCAGTGGATTGATATTATCCAACATAGCATGCTAAAAATCTCAGCTATGAACAAGATTCAGCAGATTACTCACTGGAATTTGCACGATGAATAATAAAGTGGGATTAAGTTATCCTGGCACTGTTCAAACCAATTTAATTCAAATTGTCAGACTGCTACCTATATACTTTATACTTATTTGATTTTAGGATAATATATCACTACCATAAATAAAAGATGCTGCAGCTTCTGTTACACTGTGGTATGCTAACATTTTATCTAGAAAGCTTAAGTTTGGAACATAGAATTCTAGACACCCTGAAAAATACAGCAGTATGAAAGGAGATGTTTCCACATGTCCTTCATGAAACTGGGGATGTGTTGTAACAATTGGGTAATGCTGTAAACATGTTATGTATCATCATTATTACTTCTATTTAAAAACTAGCTACCAAGTTTACAGTGGGTGCTCTTAATGCAGGACTCCAAAGCTACTAGGAAAACATGGGATTTTTTTCTAGTAACCTGCAGATAGATATGTAATTTGATAGTAGGGATCTGACTTCTGAGCAGTGATCTCTCTGCTGCTTTTCCAATGGATAATAATACTGGGCTTTTAGGACCCCAGATATTCTGGGTATTTTATATAGTCCTACTGGTCAACACTGTTGAAAGCAAGGAGATGGCGCAAATAAAGCAGAAAACTGGTACAGAGGCAGAAGAAGGAAACAGTTGAAACTGTTATTTCTTTTTTTTTAGGTCAATTTTTTTTATTTATATATAAGTATTTTGAATACAGTGTATTGTCCAGGGATAACATTTTACAAAAAGGAAAGAAAAAAAAAGATAACACATATACTGATAGCAATAATAATAATATAACAAAATAATTCAAATCATATTTATAAATATTAGCTTACTTATATTTCTATTAAATATATTGGCTTACATATAATTAATTATAAGCAATATTCATATTTTACTTAAACATAACAATATTCTTTCTTCATCTAATTTCTACCTCTTATCTCTAACCATTGATAAAACCTATTCCATTTTAAATAGTATTCTTTGTCTCCATTTATTTTCAGTGTCAATCTATCCATCTCTGCACAGTCCAATCTTTTCTGGATTATATTTTCATCTGGTGGGATGTTCTCATTTTTCCAATATTGTGCAAATACCATTCTCGTTGCTGTCAGAACATGTAACATTAAGTATCTAGTCCCTTTGTCATAATTTTCTGGTATTATATCTAAAAAATATTTCTGGTTTAAAATCTATGTGTTGCTTAATCATCTTCTCCAACCATGTATGTATTTTTGTCCAATATTTTCTTACCTTCACACATGTCCACCACATATGATAATAAGTACCTGCAGTCTGATTACATTTCCAACATTTGGCGGCCATGTTGTTAAACATTTTTGCTAACCTAGCCGGTGGCAAATGCCACCTATAAAACATTTTGTAAAGATTTTCTTTATATGCAGTAGTTGTCAGTTTATAGTTTCTATTCCAAAGTTTTTGCCATTTGTCTAATTCTATTGTATAGCCAAAGTTTTCTGCCCATACTATCATTGTTTCTTTTACTTGTTCATCTTCCATTTTAAAATTTAATAAGTATATATTTTCCTTATCAATTTTTCATCTGTCGCTAATAATGCCTTGTCGCGTATTGTTGGTTCTTTATAAAAACACCATGTTTTCGCATCTTTCTCATATCTCAATGTATTTGCAGGTATGGCCACCAAGCTAAATCCACCCCTGTCTTGTTTTAAGTTCCCTGTTCTCATTTAAAATGTCTTTATAGGTTATAGTTTTTTCCAAATTAACAACATTTGGATGTATCAGTGCTTCCATTGTAGAGAGCCAGACTGGTATTTTCATATAATTTTGTGATTTGATTTTTTTCCATACTACCGTGTTTTCCCAAAAATAATACCTCCCCAAAAATAAGACCTCCCCCCAAAAGAAGCCCTTCCCCTGAAAATAAGCCATCCCCGAAAATATTTAAACACATGCACAGCCAGTTCCCGCCATTTCCTCTGGCTAGGGTTAGGGAGAAAGAGCTGGAAATCAGGTAAGACAGTAAGAAGAGCCCCGTCTTGCTCCACGCGCCCCCAAATAATAAGACCTCCCCGAAAATAAGGCCAAGGGCTTAGTTCAGGGTTCAAAAAAATATAAGACAGGGTCTTATTTTTGGGAAACATGGTAAAAATAAAGCATTCCTCACATAGTGTCTTTGAAAATATCTGTGTGCCGTGCTCCTTCCGTACCATAAAAAGGAATGCCATCGTAATTGGAGATCATTTATTTATTTATTTATTTATTTTTCATATTTGTATACCGCCCTACTCCCGAAGGACTCAGGGCGGTGAACAGCCATAATAAATACAAATACGTATAGAAGTTAAAAACTATTAAGAAACAGATTAAGTAATTTAGGCTCAAAGATTAAAAACATCCAAATTTATCTAAAGAGGTTTAAAACCCAATTTAAAAGCCAGTTTAAAAGCCAATTAAAAAGGGAGAGTTAGGCCAGACCAGCTTGTTGGAATAGAAATGTTTTCAGGGCACGGCGGAATATGCGTAAGTCTTGGATGTTTCGTAACTCCGGGGGAAGCCCGTTCCAGATGGTAGGTGCCCCCACAGAAAAGGCTCTCCACCTGGGGGCCGTCAGTCGACATTGTTTGGCCGACGGCACCCTGAGGAGTCCCTCTCTATGGGAGCGAACTGGTCGGTGAGAGGCTATTGGTGGCAGGAGGCGGTCTCGTAAGTACCCTGGTCCTGAGCCATGGAGCGCTCTAAAGATAGTAACCAAAACCTTGAAGCGCATCCGGAAGACCACTGGGAGCCAGTGCAGCTCGCGCAGGAGGGGGGTTACATGAGAGCGCCACATTGCTCCCATTACCACCCGCGCGGCCGCATTCTGGACCAGTTGGAGCCTTCGGGTGCTTCTCAAGGGGAGCCCCATGTAGAGAGCATTACAATAATCCAGGCGTGAGGTGACAAGGGCATGAGTGACCGTGCGTAACGAGTCCCGATCCAGAAAGGGATGCAACTGGCGAATCAGGCGAACCTGATAAAAAGTCCTCCTGGCTATGGCCGTCATATGCTCTTCAAAAGACAGCCGTAAGTCCAGGAGGATGCCCAAGTTGCGAACCCCATCTGTGGGGGCCAACGACTCGCCCCCAATAGTCAGAGATGGCGCCAACTGACTATATTGGGACGACGGAAACCACAGCCACTCGGTCTTGGATGGGTTGAGTCTGAGTTTGTTCCTCCCCATCCAGATCCGTACAGCCTCCAGGCACCGGGACATCACCTCGAGGGCATCATTGGGGTGGTCTGGAGTGGAAATGTACAGCTGGGTGTCATCAGCGTACTGATGGTACTTCACGCCAAAACCACGGATGATCTCACCCAGCGGCTTCACATAAATGTTGAATAGAAGGGGCGAGAGGACCGATCCTTGTGGCACCCCACATATATCATGTCCCTCCAGTAATAGTAATCTTCAGTGCCTCAAATTTATCCATTTTTTTACCCAGGTAAGTATAGATGCCCGATACTATAGCTTCCAGTCCAGGTCCCCAAAGCCTCCATGTCCTTTAACTCCTGTAACATTTTCAATTTTATTTTTGCTTTTTTCCCTTGCCAAATATATTTCAAAATCATGTTATTTATTTCTTCAAAATATTTTTTCTCTAGTTTTATCAGTATTGTTTGAAATAGGAAAGCAACTTCAGTAGTATGTTCATTTTTATAATAGCTATTCTCCCTATCATTGAGAGTTGTACATTCTTCCATTTCTCCAGGTCCGACTTAATTTGTTTCATTAACTTTGTATAGTTATCCTCTTTAATTGTTATACATCTTGCTGTTAGATTCCTAAATATTTCACTTTCTTTACTATCTGAAGGTCTACCTTCTTTGCCAATTCATTTCTCTGCTTTTCTGTAAGATTTTAAACTATTATTTTAGTTTTTTTTTAATTATTATTTTCAATCCTGCAACTTCTCCATACTCCTCAAATTTCCCTATCAGTCTGGTGCCAGTTTGAAACTGTTATTTCTTTTTTTTAAAAAAAAAACTTTATTGAGTTTAAAAGACATAAGTATATTGACATGATAAAATGAAAGAAAGAGAAAAAGGTGCGTTAAATAAAAGTAAAAAGTAACTTGAAATATCACCAGAAATATATTCTGTATATAGTTAAAAACACTGCACATCTGATATTAATGAAAATGTCAATATACTGAAACTGTTATTTCTGTTTAGCAGAATACCAGGCTTGGGTTAAGATGTTTAAAGATCAGAATGCTCAATCATTCAGAAAGCCACCAGATAAATATGCCATTACTGACGTTCAGCCTTTCCATAGGGAAGGTAATAAGAGATCAGGGCTAGAATATTTATTTGCATTCCTTGAACATAAGTAAGCTGTTGCCAGATTTCATAACAGCTGAATTGGACTAAACATACCTCCTAGTAAGAGCCACTCAGTGCAGCTTGCTACCAAGTAAACATGCTCTAACCTTCATTTGCTTTGCAGCCCAGCACAAATGTCTGTTGATAGTTTCTTTATTTCCCAAAGAAATAAGCTATCCCCAACTCAGTTTTCTCCAACCCTTCAAGCATATCCTCCAACTACCACATGGAGTAAACCATGTTAAAGAGATCTATTCCTAGCAAAGCCATGGTCTGCAAATACTTTTCTGGGAATAAGCCATTCAGTTCATAGTTGAAGAGTTGAATGCGGTATAAACATGGATGGATTTATGCTTGCTGAAACTAGCATGAATTGCTTTCTATCACTTCCCGAAAACAGCCCATTCTTATATATTTACTTCCTTTTCTTTCCTATATCCCATCTCTATCTGATGTTTTTCCTGAATTGGTAGAGCTTTTTCTATTATGCAAGGGAGAATGATGTGTATGATGTACCTTGTAAAATGTAAAAGAAGACTTTTACATTTAAACTCACCTTCCTTTTTGGTAAAAAATAACAAGTGGTAACAAGTAATGATTTGGTACATTTTGCTACTTTTTGAAAACAAGAATACAATCAACTGTTGGTAAAAAAAAGTGCAATATCTTTCACTGTTATATATAAGATAAATTACACATAATTGTATTGTTGGTATTATCCAGTCAAAACTAGACTGTCAATATCTTTGAAACTACTGAGGGTATAGACTGATTTTTTTTCACTAAAGACACAAGCAAACATCACTGAGTTCAATCAAATTTCTTTCTAAGTAATTTTGTCATTGCTATATTAATTCTTGTTTGGGTTACGCCCACTGAATGTATGTATCCAATTACTTTTCCCCTATGTGATGATCAATATCTTGAAATAGATGAAAAAACAATGTTTTAAAATAAGTCTTTAAAGATTCCCATTGTGAATAGGCTGTAATGCTTATTACATTTTTGCTCATTTACTTCCTTTGTCAAAATTAAACAGGCAGTTGTATACTTGATGATAGTCTATTATGATAGCACAGTACTGCAGTTATCTTTGATGTAATGATTTCATAGATTCCTGGTTTTGAAATGGGGGTATGTTATTTCTTGCTTTAATTGTTAGCCACATTTGGATACATTAAAGAGAAAACATGGACATGAATGTTTTAAACAAATTGAAACAAGCAATCCAATGATAACTAGGTACTGTATAAGAGGCTAAAATGACCATGTTTTTCATGTCAACAGTACCTCGTTTTTTTCAGATACGATGACATGTTAGTAGTCCCTATTGTTGAGAATACACCTGAAGAGAAGGACTTGAAGGAGAGAATGGCACATGCAATGAACACATATCCAGACACTTGTGCTGTGCTGGTCAGGCGTCATGGGGTTTACGTTTGGGGTGAAACATGGGAAAAAGCCAAGACAATGTGAGTAGAATGAGGAAATAAACCAATATATTGGTGGGCCTATCTCTTCTAGAACTTCTTAACATATAAGTATAGCTAGATTGTGTTTGCTTCTACTTCACCTGATTTTTCTGTTTTTATTTTTGAGAATTGGGAATTATTCCAATTACCAAGTGTAAAAATATTATCCACTGTACCATTCTATTTTTACACTTGCAGAGCTTCTATTGTTATAACAACAACAAAATTTAAAAAAGATTTTGACTAATGATAAGGAAAATACAGCAAAGCTTTACCAATTGTGTGAGGAAAATACTGGTATGTCAAAATTCTTTTTTTCCATAGTGAGAAATATTTTTAAATTGATACTAGATAATACTATATTCACCTTAACAAAATATTAGGGTTTTTTTTCCCCTCAAGTACATTGTTCTACAAGGGAAAGGTTGCCTTAGTTTGGTTGAGAGTGGTGGCGCAGTGGTTAGAATGCAGTACTGCCGGCTACTTCTGCTGACTGCTGGCAATTTGGCAGTTCGAATGTCATCAGGCTCAAGGTTAACTCAGCCTTCTGAACTCAGTAAAATGAAGACCCAGATTATTGGGGGCAATATGCAGACTCTATAAACCACTTAGAGAGGCCTTCAAAGCACTGTGAAGTGGTATATAAGTCTAAATGCTATTGAAATTTGAGGTAGACCTGTTATTTTTCTGTCTGTATCTATCTTAAATTCAGAATTTTCTTCTTTTACTGTGAATGCAGTATTGTACATTGTGAAAACTTTCACTTTTATTTCTGCTATAATAGTAAATTAGTTGATTTATATTTATATAACAGATTTGAAAACAAAGTGTATATAACCAAAATATATAACCTAATTTATTTTTCCTTTGTGTATTCTTCAGGTGTGAATGTTACGACTACCTTTTTGACATTGCAGTACAAATGAAACAGCATGGAATTGATCCTTCTATAATTCCTAGTGGAGAAAATGGAATTGTTTAGTAACTTTTTCCCTAAAAACTACCTTTCAGTACAATATTACTGGATTTCTAGGACGTGTCTGATTATTAAGCACTAACCATTCAACATTGTTTATTAAAAGTCTGAAGGATACCCCATTTAATTTATGTGATAACTTCTTGTTTTAGAATCTTCTTTGTAATTTATATTCTAGAGTTGAACAATATATCACTAAAACATGGTGGCCTTACAACCTTTAAATTCAGGATTTTTTTTTAATTTATTTTTTTTACCAAAGAAGCACATCATGATATCCAGCAGGGGAAATGTTCAAAATAATTTCATATAGGTGTTGAAAGACTACCATGAATAAAAGTATGCCAAAATAAGACATTAGCTTTTACTTTTGAAAAATGACACCTTAAGAAAGTGAGCAGATTTCTCCTACATGCTGTTTTCTTTGGATAATTCAGTATACATTCAGAACAGAAACCATTCCAAAATTTTAGGTATTTGAAAAGTAATGAAAGCAGCCTGAAAAAAAAAGTATGCAGAAATGAATGGTATATTTATTATATCAAAATGTTTTAGATGGTGCCAATGTATTTAATAACATTATAAAAGTTCCATATATCATCTTATAATTTGATATGTTTAAAAAATGTAAAATGGGAATATATTGCTGTAATTTACACTTCAGCGTTACTTGCTCTGTGGGCATATGATGCCAGGAACAAAGTTTGAAAGGCAGACATTTGTGAAGATGACTAGTAACTAAAGAGTTGAATCTTGCCATAGATGAAATGATATCAAAAGTATTTATTAAAAGGTCCTCCAGACAAATATTAAAATACTAAGGTAAAGGTAAAGGTTCCCCTCGCACATACATGCTAGTTGTTCCCGACTCTAGGGGACGGTGCTCATCTCCGTTTCAAAGCCTAAGAGCCAGCGCTGTCCGAAGACGTCTCCGTGGTAATGTGGCCGGCATGACTAAACGCCAAAGGCGCATGGAACAGTTACCTTCCCACTAAAGGTGGTCCTTATTTTTCTACTTGCATTTTTTATGTGCTTTCAAACTGCTAGGTTGGCAGAAGCTGGGACAAGTAACGGGAGCTCACCACATTACGCGGCACTAGGGATTCGAACCGTTGAACTGCCGACCTTTCGATCAACAAGCTCAGCGTCTTAGCCACTGAGCCACTGCATCCCTCCTATTAAAATACTATTAAAATGCAAAATGATATGAACCACTTATCCCTGCCGTTAAAATATATAACACTGTGCAATAGAAAGAACAAACCTCTTTAGTCCTGGTGACACTTTATGCAAACACTGTCTAGTATTAACTAAATATTTATTTGTCAATTACATATATCACATAATCTACAGAAATAAAAACAAGTTATGTTGAAAAGAGAACTGTACGTTCCAATTGTATGAGCATTTGATACACAAAGGTGATTTTATGTTGACTCTAGTTACTAACATTAACTTCAACACAGCTCCATAACCACTAAAAAGAAAGTACAGGGAAAGCTGCATGAAGCCTCCAATGTTCAGATTTTACTATACCATTAAAAAATAAAGATCCTTGTACACAAGTACAGAATGCAATACCGCTGGCCTGGTAATGGCAGTTGTGAAAATAATATTGGAAAAGTAATTGATTGGAAACTACTATGAGTTAGCCAGGTGGATTGTCTACACAACAGGCACATGTCATTTCGGGATGCATGAATGGAAGTAATGCCACTTCAAGGGGCGTAATCGTGCCAGTTTATTCTGCTTTGAGCAGACCCCACCCCAAGTCGCGTGTCCAGCTCTGGATATTGAACTTGAGTCAGAGAAAGTGGATTTAGGAAAATTTAAAAGTGATCAGGGACTAGAAACTAAACCCCATGAAGAGGATTTTTAAAGAGCTGAGCATGTTTAGCCTGCAAAAAGAGCTACAGGGAAATATAGCACTCTCCAAATACCTAACAGGATGTTGGAGTAGAAAGTCAGGTCCTGTTTTTTCACATTCCACAGTGCACAATATGGACTAATGGATTTAAATTACAGAAAGGCAGATTCTGACTGTTGGGGGGAAAATATTCCAGTTAGGAAAAGCAGATCAACAAGGGGACCAGTTATCTAGAGATGTGGTAGGCTCCCCTTTCTTTGATATGTGCAGTGAAAGGTTAAAGTTAGACAGTCGTCTCTGGAAGTTATTTCGCTTGGATTCCTGCATTGAAGAAGAGGTTGAATTCTCTCCCAATTCCAGTGTCAGATTTTATTCTATGATACATATATACATGCAGACAGATATACACAAATGCATATGTGCATATGCATACTGTATATAAAAGGTATTTTGGTAAGAATAATTAAGCTTTTAGTATGCTTGCAGAATGGTTTTTCATCAAGTAAGCATTTCTGTCACTATCAGGGCAGCCAGTTTTCAGCTATTCCCCTGCAGCCACAGTGGGGCATAGAAATATGTTCTTTGGCGAACAGCATGAAAGGTGATAAGCAATGGTGAGGTGATGTTTAGTTCAACTAAAGTAGGCAGACAAAAGGTTTCACTAGATCAAACCATTTCATAAGCTTAATGGAAGCACAGGATATCGTGGTTCTTTGCAAACTAGAAGTTTGCTTTGGAATTTTTGATAGTTACAGCTATTGGTAGAATTGAGGCTGAAATATGTTAGAAATATCATGAGAGGCATCTGAGGATCTTCCAGATGTGTGGCACAAGCTTAGTATCTAAACTGGCTCTTAATTTCCAAAGTTGAAGTGATAGCAGAAATAATAAAATATTTTCTTTTTATATTCTGCATGACACATGACTCCGACACAAATGGACTCCCTCCATTAAAAAAAGATTTCCATTTCAACACATTTGGTTTTAACTTTGGAACAGAAGGGAATCACACAATGTTCTAGCTCTTTTAGCTCCTTTTGAAAGATCATATTGGAACATTATAGCTCCTGGTCATAAGAGCACTACATCATCAAGGCAAAGGTCTATCTGGTCCAGTGTTCTGTCACACAGTGTTCAAATAAATACATTTGAGAAGCTGGAGGAACATGACTGTTCTTTTCCATTATGAACCCTAATGCTGATATTTATGGCAATCTGGTTTTGATTGTGTGAAATGTTACAGCAGTCAAAACAGCTATATTCTGTATTTGACATTTCCCTAAACTAATGGCTATTCTGGTGGCATCTTCCATGAATATTTCCATGTTGAAGCTGCTGATGTATTATAAAGGCATAGATTATCCTCCAACTGTAGACTACAAAGCTATTGTCAATAGTTTGATTTCAGGTTGCTCTAGAATAGAGCAAATCTGGTGCATGGGTTCACTTACAGCAGTGATGGGAGCATTACTGAAAGACTTGAAAGAACCAGGTTGAGGACAGGTCATCTGGGAGAAAATCTATATTGCCAAGAGTCAATACCACCTTGATGGTACATGGCCAGTCAATCAATGAAATAAAATATCCCAATTTTGTTGGGAGGGGGAAGTAACTACATAGTATGCATCTAAATATTTTCATTTTCCTTGAACATATAGCTTTTAGGATAATTTTTCAAAAATGTTATGCGACTGCAATTAGGAAGAAAAAGCACATGAAGTTTTTAGCCATTCACAGCTAAAGCAAACCCTTTTATATATATAACATAGCTCATTGTCTAACACATTATCAAATTAATAGTTTGAGCTAATGTAATGAGCTAATGTAACAAGTTCTAAAGAATTTACAGTTGATCAGAATTAGTTTGAAGATGTTTTGTTCTACACTATTCCAGATTTTGACACCCTGGCTTGTTTTCACTTCCTACTTACAATTTTCCCATGCCTGTTCCATTTGGCATTCAACCACTGAATGAATGAGAACATACTTACCCAAATCTGCTTCATAAGCTGGAGGAGGTCTCCAGAGCTAAAAATTACCTTAGTCTTTTTAAAGGCTTTTTTAAAATCCTACTTTTATTATTTTTATAAATAACTGAAGGCAATAAACATATCTTAACACTCCTTCCTCCTCCTATTTCCCCCAGAACAACAAGTGTGTGAGGTGAATTGACCTGAGAGACAATGACTGGCTCAAAGTCACCCAGCTGGCTTTCATGCTTAAGAAAGACTAGAACTCAAAATCTTCTGGTTTGTAGCTTGGTGCTTTAAACGTTTAAAGAATATTACCATTTTTAAATTAGTATTTCATCATGCAAATTATTTTTAATAAATATTTTACAACTTATCCACAGTACAGTATGGGTTATAGTTAGGACAATGATCATAATTGCAGAAAAGACTTTGTATTTAACATTTATAAGAATTCACACACAAAATTTCCCATTGGTGGGATACAATCGGTAGTGAGTTATATCAGAGTTAACTTGATCAAACATGGAAGACCTTAATTGCCATGTTGAATCTTACATAGAGGCATTATATAAGAGGAAGATGTATTTATCCCGTATTAAGTTTTTATATCTCTGTCCATTACAGAGATGATGGTGAATGGCATCATTCAAAAGTACTGTAGGAAGAACTATAGACAATCTCATTGTTTTTCTCTTCTGAGAATTTTTTAGGAGCAGACATTGAAATATAATGGTAAAGCTTTTAATCTTCAGAAACCTGCTTAACAAGAATGTAATCCATAAAATGAATTACTTCTATTGAATATGTAGGCTTTTTAGACCTCAGCAAGGTACTCAGTTAATTAAAAATAAAGCCTATTTCAGTGAAGAGAAGAGTGAAGTTTGTGATCAAAATAAACATAAATTTAATACCAAACCAATTAAACCATGTTGCATAGTACAATATGTAAACCCAATACAATTCACAATTCATCCAGTTTACCATTAGTTCCTTGAACAGAAATTAAAATTATCCCTCATTGCAGGGTTGAGGTAGATGGCTTTTGGAAACAATTGTTTGTTTTTCAGCATTTATAACATTATGCTAAAGAATAAACTATCAGAGGCAACCTCTATTTTCAACTTTTATAGTTAATATTTTCAATTAACTTCCTTGTAATCAGCATGTCAATACAGTAAAGGGCTGGGCTAGGTCATCTGTTGCATCAGCATTGTCAATGTGGGTTTTCTGGTAAGCTCAGATTTCAATGAATCATTTGCTAGCAGTTCTAATATGATGATGTAGTGA